TCTCCACCTATCCTCTCCTCTATCCCTCTTCTATCCGCCTCCCACTCTCTCCCTATTTATTTCAAAACCCCCTTCCCCTCCCCCTTTTCTGATGAAGGGTCTAGGCCCGAAACGTCAGCCTCTCTGCTCCTATGATGCTGCTTGGCCTGCTGTGTTCATCCAGCCCTGCACCTTGTTGTCTCGGATTCTCCAGCATCTGCAGTTCCTACTATCTCTAAAGAAAAACCCATTTCACTTTGAGAATGATGTTATAAACTCTCATCATTAATTAATGTCTGTTTACTTGTCATCTGTCTCCTACATGAATATGAAATACCACTACATTCTTAAGGTTAAATTTTGACCTGTGTGAATATCAGAAACTCTTAACACATTTAAATTCCCATTTATATTATTTTTCAAAACAGAGTTGTCACCATTTCACAAGCTCAGATTAATAATCTTTGTTTCAAATTTGCAATGGAATTTATAGGATGGAAATAATAGCTAGTTTCTAAAACAAATTAAGCTACATTTTTGTGTTGAAGTTCAGGCTCAGTTGGGGGGCTTTATTATTTTTAAAGGTCTCGAGGGAGACAGGGAAGTCTTTCAATTCAGCAAAATGGGTGGTGTGTCTGAACCCCACTGCTTTGTGGATGGGTTCCCACCTCGCTGACAACTGAAGCCTTTAAGTCATCAATTAATGACCATTCAATAACCTCCTCTCGATGGCAAGATACACAATACACACGAGGAAAAACTACCTGACTGGTAGAGGTCTTCCCATGGGGGCATCAGGAGGGTGTGGAAGAGGACCCTGTTCAAAGGAACTAAGTGCCTGATCAAGATGGGAGGGTGATTCATTGACAGTCATTGTGACCCTCTTTTCATGACCTCCCCGCTGCAAAACCCCACCTGCTGTGGTTTACCTGTGCCCCACCCCTCCCCCACCAAGCTCACTGTTCAATCTGGAACATCTGGTAAATCTCACTCCAGCTGCAGCGCCCCCCCCACCGACTGACACAGCTGTTCACAGGAGCTGCCCACCTCCAACTGGCCAGCAGCTCTCAGCAGATGCCATTTCCACCCGTGGGGTCCCACCATTGGCTGCTTAAGCGAGAAGCAGTTAACCAGTGAGACATTCTGGAGGAGGCAATGTGTGCTTCTTGCTAAATGAAGAAACCACAGAATTGCTGATGCTGGAAATCAAAGAAAGACAGAAATTGCTGGAAAACCCCAGCAGGCCTGGCAATATTTGTATAATCGGTGGAGAAAAAGCAGAGTTAAGGTTTTGGGTCAATTCTGAAGAAGGGTCATAACACCCAAAACGTTAACTCTGATTTGTCTCCACTGGTGCTGCTAGACCTCCTTCTTGGTTTATTCGGTTGGAGTGCGTACGTGTTGGGGGCGCGTGTGTTTCTTGCTGGCTGACCAGCAGGCAAAACCTCCCCACTGCCACCATAAAATCCAATGCTTTGTAAATGGGAACGCTGAGCAATACTTTATCAGGCAAAACACCAGACCCGAAATGTTGACTCTGCTTTCTTTCCACAGATGCACCTAGACCTGCTGAGTTTCTCCAATTTCTGTTTTGTTACTGCTTCAGATTTGTTCTACTGTGCACCTACTGCAGTCATCAGGTGTAAAGTGAACATGGTTCTATTTCCAGCAGATTCACAATTCTGTTAGGTAGGTACATGTGCACACAATGGTGAGAACTCGCTATACATAAAATGGTGAGATGTCACTTACAGGTGATAAGAGATGTCATAGAATCCCTACAATGTGGAAGCAGGCCATTTGGCCCATCGAGTCCACACTGACCCTCTGAACAGCAGCCGACCCAGACCCACCCACCTACCCTATCCCTATAACCCTGCATTTTCCATGGCCAATCCACCTAACCTGCACATCTTTGGACTGTGGCAGGAAACCGGAGCACCCAGAGGAGACCCTTGCAGAGACGGAGAATTTGCAAACTCCACGCAGTCACTCGAAGGTGAAATTGGGTTCCAGGCACTGAGAGGCAGCAGTGCTAACCACTGAACCACCCCATTTATACAAGACAGAAAAAGGTGTAACTAAACATGTGCATAAACATGCTTTGGATACACACAAATACAAGCACAAGCACAAGCACATGCACATGTGTAAGCAAACATATACCCATTCTCAGCTGAATAAGCAAATGGGATCAATGAACAGAGTCAGAAACAGTTTGCAAAGGTAAGCAATGTACACATAGCCAGCCAGCAAAATACACACTATGCCAGTCTGATAAAGCTGCAGAATGATCTGGGGTATGATTAGCTATAATTTCTTATTCAATGCTGAATACTGATGCAGCCATTTTAAAGTGGATCTCAGATTTGTGTCTGAGAGTTACCTGTAATTGGTCCATCATCTTCATCAAATTCAATCTTCACTCCTTTTCCATTGGCTGTACTGACTCCACATCCACCACCACGGCAAAGTGACACTGGGACCACGCCATAAACATAAGCCAACATGATGGGAACTCCAATTCCTTAAAAGCAAGGCAGATCTAACCTTAATAATGACTTGTTGAGAAACAAGGAACAGCTAGCTCCCAATGTTCCATCCTGCTGAAATGTGCATTGACAACTGTAACCAATTACAGCAGAGCTGATTTTACTTGTTAATTATTTGTGTTAAAAATACTAATATACTGCAGATGCCTAAATAATATTTGTATTAGAGGAAGATGTTGATAATATTCATAATACATCTTCAAAACTTAATTGACCAGCTGACGCATCCAACTGTAATGTTCTTTAGGGTAAGGCAGAGTCATGGCTTACAATTATTATGGTACTTCTTTAAAAAGATGTAAGAATTAGAAACCACAGACTGCAGGAATTGAATTTCTACTAAAGCCAAGTAAGTTAGTTTATGAAATTTTAGAGCTTTATATCTACTTCAAATGAAAATGACAAGAGTCAGCTGATTCAGCCCAGACTCACATTAGGACAATTCCTTTAGCGAGAGCAACAGATGGTACCTTGAGAACTTCATGCCAAAGGGAAAGTTACCCACTTTTTGACTGCCTAATGGATCATGATCAAAAGACTCACCTGAAGAAGCTTGCCAGTAAAGATGGTCTTGGCAAAGGGTCTGTCTTGTTTTTGAAAAATGTCTTTTTGTTAGTTAAGCCAAGGTGAGATTTAATTGTGTCTACTTTATGCACAGCAATACAGAATAATAAAGCAGGTTAACAATTTGTTTCTGTCTTTGTCTCAGATTCAGACCAGAGATCCACAATGGATTGTGACTAACAGCGATATGGCAGGTTTGTGCCCCTTACTTCTCTCAGTGCAACGGTGGCTTTCACCACCAATATCAGCAAAAACATTTGACGGAAGACAATGAGATTCCTCAAGAGGGTGAAGAGATCCTTATTGTCAAAATAAGAACACTTAAGTTTGGATACACCCAAGTGAAACCAAGAGGTTCATTATATGATCGTTGTTTGAGCTGATGGTTCATAATTCAGTCAAGGAGTCCTGTATATGCAACTGGAGTATCAGACAATAAAACAAAAAAATCTTGGAAAAACATAATTCTTGCACCTCCAACTTGAAAACTGAGCCAATTAAACTATTTTAACAGAAGGTTAGTTATTCAGTAGATATTTTATGTTTGTTGTGAGATCCAGTCTCAGCCACAAATTCAGAGCTTACCTACACTGACTGCTGCTATCACAGGAGAAGCAATAACAGATAGGGTAACTGCACCAGTAATTGCCAGATTCCTTTTGTGCTTTGAAGTCTTCTTTCCTTTGTAGCGACTGTGAATCTAAATAACAAAAGCCAGAATTAGTTAAGATATTTACCAATTCAAAAAACCTTCAAAACAGAACAGGAACATTGTTTTTTTAAATCTCTTTGCATTCTGCATATGCCAACTTTCTCCAAACTGAAATAATGCTCCTGAAATCGACAGGTTTACGTGAAACTGCACAAGTTACAAATTACAAGTAGTGGTATATATCTAATGTACCTTCATGTTTGGTGTTTGTTTTAAATTTTCTTTACAGTGAGTGGTAAAGAACTTATTTCCTTTTGTTCATTGCAAAGCAGCTAGTGCAACCGTTTCAAGTAAAATTGAAATACGGGTAGAGATAAAGCCACCATTGTCCTAGGAGGCTACAGGGCTGCTCCCTCGAATAGAGAGGGAGAGTTTAACCTACATGTTGTCACACCTCAGGAGAGGAGAGACGTTGAGAAAGAGAATCCTTTATAGTAATTTCAGCCACTGTGGAAATTGAACCCATGCTGCTAACGGTAGTTTAACATTATAAGCCAGCTGTCCAGCCAAATAAGCTAACCCAGAGTAAATCAATGCTCCAATGCCATTCAGCTACTGGAAATAAGAGTTTAGTTTCCAAAACTATTTACCTAAATTAAAATGCTAAGATAATTTTAATTCAAAACCAATTTGATCAATCACTAGTCTGCAACTTAACTCAGCCAGAATTACATTCTTAGGATTGGGTTGGACAAATTGTACAATATTTAAAAATAGAAACAACCATTTAATCCAACCTTTCAGCCCATCTTTCTACAGCTCCTTCACTCACATACACATTGAGTTTCCTTTTGAAAGCATCAAAGCCAGTTGCCTCAGCTAATTGGCTCAAGCATTTCCTATGATACTGAGTTCTGCTTTCTAATCATTCAGAGTAAAAGACATTTTGCTTTAGAAGTAAATCTGGTACTTAGTTTTTAAGTAACTTTTCCAACCGGTGAGGCTGCTTTTATCGATTTTATTTGCATCTCTAGATCCTTTTGCTATTCTATACAACTCAATTTCTTACGTTCTACGAGTGTTATGCAGCAAACATGTTACCCATTAGCCCTTCGCAATGCATGTATATAGGGAAGCTCAGCCATTAAATTAAAGACAGAGATTGTTGTTACTAATGACATCAAGGAATATGGGGATAGCACAGGAATATGTTGAGGTACAAGATAAACCATGATCTGGAATAAAAGAGCAGATTTGAGGGGCTGAATGGCTTACTCTGATATTTCTATGCAAGAACTGGAGTAAGTACAATTAGGATGGACCAGCACTTGAGGATTTTGATGATGTTAAATACCTGTATTTAACAAGAACAATGGCTAGTTTGTGACAAAACCAGAAAGCGCTGGAGAAACTCAACAAGCCAGGCAGCACCCGTAGGAAGAAAAACTGAGTCCAGGTTTTGAGTCCAATGACCCTTTGTCAAAGCGGTTGTCTGGGACGTTGCAGGAGAATGACCTGCATTTTTACACCAACAAAACAAAAATGCATTTTCAGGTATGAAGATGGGAAGAATCCCATAGTAACTTCATAGGCAGTAATCACTCAAAGTAAACATTTTATTTACAGGCTTACCGGCATTAAAATAACACTCAGAAAATGACCATAGTAAACCATGTCTCCAAACAATCTAATAAATAGTTGAAGAATGCAAATTAGCATTCAGATCCATGAGAAGAAATATAACAAATTTTAATCTCCGGTCCAACTTCACAATTTACTGCATGCCTGTTGTTTTGATTTTGAAGACAAGCTGTGATCATGTTAAATGCTGGAGCAGACTCGAAGGGCTGAAATGTCAACCTTACACCTATTGCTTATATTATCACAGTGAGATGTTAGAGAATGTTACTGCATTAAAAAAAACACGTTGTTACAAACAAAAGGACGGATATACTTTATTATTTTTCCTTACCTTCCGACCAACATAAACCGGGATGCCAATAATCATGGCTGGCACGGCAATTCCAGCGATGAGAGAAATGCCTACTGGAGCACCGATCAACGTGCCAAGCTGCCAGAGAATTTTCTTCTTCTTGCTCCATGGCTTCTTCCCCCAGAAGGTACAGCCAGAGGGGCTGGAGATGGCAACAGAAGAAAAGATTTTTTTTTCCCAAAGATAAAAACATCAAGGCAGAGGGATTCATGAGATTTGTCCAGATGCCAACGTGTCACTGAACAATAATTAAGAATGCACACAGAGTCAGGGAGTCATACAGCACTGAAACAGACCCTTTGGTCCAACTTGTCCATGCAGACCAAGTTTACCAAACTAAACCAGTCCCATCTTCCTGCATTTGGCCCATATCCCTCTAAACCTTTCCCATTCATGTCTTTTCGTCTATTTGGTTCCATGTGAAACAGGTTTATCCCTCACAGCTAGATGGCGATATTGCTGTAGCTGGAAGACTGTGCGAACCATGACCGGTGATGAATTTGCAATTTAAATATGTCTAAACCGGCAACAAACATTTGTGGTAAAAGCAAAGTACTGCAGATGCTGGAAATCTGAAACAGAAGAGAGAAAATTCTGGAAATACTTAGGTCAGCATGTGCAGAGGGAGAAACAGAGTATTTCAGGTCTATGACCTTTTGTCAGAATGTGCATTTTGTATTGCCCATCAGAAGGTGAGAGTTTAGGTTATGCGTAAACACAATAGAAAAGCTACTGAGTTATTTTACAACAAATGAATTTCTACTAATTAAAAAAAAATATAATTCAGCAGGAATGTAAAATGATATTGGAAATCACCTCCTAAGCTTTAGTGAGGGGAAACAAAGCTTTCATGTTATGTGGAGTTATATTACAGCTACTGTACATTGCTAGGCAAGAGAGACTTGGGAGAAAAGGGTTTTTAAAAAATTGGACTGATGTTTGCAGCATTCCATTAAACATTTGCTACCAGTAGAGTGCAGACATCAGTGTGTGATACTCATGCCAAAATGGAATAAAAATGATGTGAAGATTTTGTCACCTTCCCAATTGCGTTTTTGCCTTGGAATTTGGCTACTCCAGAGATATCAAACTTTTCTCCAAGCAGTGGCTTACAGGTTTCTACAGTTCCAATGGCAATATCTACACATGAATATTAACAGTTTATTTAAATAGGCGATTGCACAGAAACTGAATTCCGGAAATAGTGAGAGATCAGGAACATGGTTTTCCTCCAAAATCCATGAACAGAGTTCTTTTGCAACTTGCTGGAAGGTAGAAGCCAGACCATAGGATAAAGGGAACTCCATCAGATTAGCGGGGTGTGATATATGATGTCTCTCAGGAATTGGTACTGGACTACACACTTAATTATTTGGATGAAGAAATCCAAGAGTTGCTTATCCAAATTCACAGAAGGAGTCAAACCAAGAGACACAGTAAGTTGGGCAAATGGGACCAGAAAGCTACAATGGAATAGATTAAAAGAATGGATTCAGTAATTGGAAAAAAGAAGTGGCAGATGAACTTCAACATACAGGAGCACATTATCATTCTTGGATTTTAAGTGGATGATTAAGAGGAATAATGTCTAAATGAAAGAAACTAGGTGTTGTGGAAGATTAAAAGGATTTGCATGTTGACATACACAAATCATTAAATAATCATAGTATACAGGTATAAACTGTAATCAAATAAGCCTATATATGATGTTGACCTTTACCTCAAAGAGCTGCAATACAAGGTGGTGAAAGTCATGCTTCAGTTATACAGAGCTTTGGTCAGACCTCATCTGGAGTAGTGGACACTTTTCTTTGCATTACTTTATGTGAAACGCATCAGAAAGTATAACAGTTTCACTCACCAACTTGTTAAATGAGCATTTTAATATATCATTGCTTATTTTTGGATAAATGTGTCCTTGCAAGCAAAGTTTTTTTGGAAAAATCTAATTAAAAAAAAGTGATTGCTTCTCTCCCTCCTATGTTGCAGTCCAAGAACACAACTTCTAAACATTACAACATGCTGTCTCTTACCTAAGATAATGGAGGTCAGAAATCTCCTTCATGCAAAGCCAGCAGAACTCACAGCCACAAACAGCACATGTCATGTGATTACAGCTTCCATCGTTCATTTTAATGATGTAAGCCCCACATCGCGGGCATGGCTTGATATCATCTGCTAATGAGAAAGAAGTGGATGATTTGGCTTTGAAGAGCTGACTTATTCCGTAGAGAATAAAAGGGCACGCTACCTACGATACCTACCTGGATACAGCTAATAAAAAAAAAAATCAAGCTATTTCAAGATACCGCGCATTACTAAAATACATTTAAACATTAATTTTACCTCAATCAGCTAATAATAAACATTTGAAGTTGACACGAAGTAGTAAGTAGAATAACATTTCATTTATCAACAGTGAAATCCGTGCATCTTGATCAGTACAAACCCATGACAAATATGGGAAGTAGGCAGTGCATTGTTGGATATTGGCTATTTGGCACTGTAAGCCCTGTATGAACTGTGACTGTGTAGACACTGACCACATACCATTGCCTGGTTCCTGGCCATAGCTCAGGCCTGACGTTTGTTTTGTACGAATCCGAAGACTTTGTGCCCTCTGTTGACGAGCATTGTCACAGGTCTGATTTGGGTGCCAGAGCTGTTTGCAGTGATAGCAAAACTCTGTGCCACAGCCATCTCTCCCACAGGTGATCTTTGGACAGCTTGCACATCCATAGGCAATCACAGCATACCTGGAAAGCGCAATAATTTAGTTCATTGAAACTTTAGATAACAAATCAGCATAACTCCTTATTTTATATCACTGTTCTTTAATTTTAGTTTTCGAATTCTTCAGCAATTTTATCTGAATGACATATTTGAATCCAAATGGAAGGAAAAAAAGAAATTTAAAGATTTTATTTTTTTTTTTAAAGAAACGAATGTGGATCACCAACACCACTCCCCCCCCCAACAATCAGAGTGAGCAGTTGGAGCTATAAAAGTCCTATTCAATAACTAGCATAGCCAACATAGATAACACTCTCCTAGATAAATTTTCTTCTGTAAACTATGTCCTGCCCTTCATATTGATGGCCTGGTCAAGGTCAAGAATTCACCGTGGAAGGATACCAACTCATATCCTGTGGTACAACATAGTGCACCCAAACTGCAACATAAAGCTGGCACACAACCTCTTGTGCCACAATGTAGTGACCCTACTTATGGGCCAGGAGGCCTGTATTCAAGTCCCACCTGGTCGAGGGGTGTGTCGTAACAAATGTGAACAAATTGATTAAAAAGATGTCAAAATGCAGACTGTATAGCACCATTAGCAAAATGTATTCTATCATTACCAAACTGCTGGTGGTGAGAATTGGAAAGTTCTCGTTGGTTCTAACAATAGCAAAGGTGCTGGAGCAAAGTAGTGACAATCATTCCCCCGTCCAGTGATAACTGGGAAGTGCTTCCATTGCTAACAATCCAGCACCATCACCCTGATCTACATCACCACAACTGACTGAAATAAATTACTGCATTGGGATTTCTGGCGAGTTCACGGGATTTTATTGGACTACAAACAAAAAAACAAACAGAATAAACATTTCATTCTTCCTTAATTACAACAGCAACTGCATTTCAAATGCACTTCATTAGTTGTGAAACACTTTGGTGACATCTTAAGAGGATGGAGGATGCTGTATAAATCCAAGTTCTGTCCTCTCATTATATACTGTATCAACACATCCGCACAAGGAAATAATCATCAAATCATCTCAATTAAAAATTAAAATATTGCCAGTTGTAATCTTATAAATAATCACAAAAAAGACACATTAAGCTAGTATTACATTGAAAACCACCGAGGATATCACCATTCACAGCCATAAAGTAATAAATAGGACAGTAACTTGTGGCGTCTATAACATGTAGCTAAATCTGAATTCAGGAAGCTCTGGTCCAATTCTCCTCGTTCCTCTGCAGGTGGTGCCCCATCAGTACCTTGTCAATACAGTCTGTGTTAAAATACACAGAGGGCATGAAGGTGCTGTACTTATCCAATAAACATGACAGAAAATATTAGGGTTTGTCCATTCAGAGTAATTGAACTTTAAAACAACGTAAGAAATCTTAACTACTGCAAAATAACTCTCTGATGTGAGAAAGTTTATGCAATTTGGTTTTGGAGATTTTTAAAAAACATTGTTTCTCCTCTCTCTCTGTGAATCCCATCTTTCTTTCCTTCTCTTTTGCGTACTTTACATGATTTTACAATTAAATATTCTAATTTATGTCTCCTGATTTAAAACGTACATCTCATGTGAGGATCCTTCAATCTGATTGGTTGAGGAGAAACATTATTGCATGCCTACTCACACATGCCACAAATTCCACAAGGAGAGTTGTGAACTGAAATGGATTTCCAAACACCCCAAGCTGCCTTTCAAACCTGCAAAAAAAAAAAATCTGTGGGCAACTGTAACGACAATGAATGGCTTAGTAGTATTCTTTCACTGCCACCTGCAAAATTCAGGTCAAAGCCTTTGGGTATTGAAGCAGCAAATGAAGTCCAGTTGATCACAAGTTAAACACAGGAAAAGGTGGTCATTTGTTCCATTCAGAAAGACTCCAGTATACCCATTTTACAACATTCACCTGCTTTTGAGATTATTGAAGGATCTTCATCTTTGCAGTCCTACTCCATCTGGAAGCTCATTCCACTTTCTGAACATTGTTAATCACTGTGTACCTCCAGCGCATCATTTCCTGCAACTAGCTCTGCACTTCTCTCCCAGTTTTCAGAGTTTAGGATTAAATTGCATTCTAATCTATATTTCCACACCACTTACTATTCTGCACTTTTCTACAGATAAGGCAATGAAAGGTTTTGTAATTAATTTATTAATACGTACATTTATCCTACACTTATTGTATTCAGTCCTCTCTACCTGTTACCAAGTTTCAAAACTGCTTGGATTCTGGTCTCTGGTCATCCTGTCTTGTACTTGGGCCGGAATGACCATAACTAATACATTTCCTTTGAAATAAAGCCAATGGACAGATTAAATAGAATACTAACTCCAAAATGTCTAACATGTGCTCTCATGTAAAAAAGGTACAGTGGCTACAGTTTTACCAGACCATAGGGCTGCTCTTTCATTAGAGAGAGACAACTGGTGGTGGTTTAATCTGAGGGTCTGGAAAGGTTGATAAGCGTCCTTCGTGGCAATCTCACCCAATGCAGAAGTTGAACCCACGCTGTTGGCATCACTCTGCATTGCAAACCAACTGTCCAGCCAACTGAGCTAACCAAACCCCAATGGTTTAAGGTGAAGTAGGAGCTTACTTCAACAACTGCAGCATCATATTCTAGACCTGTCCAACCAAATTAAAAATCTTAAAAAGGACATACAGTAATCAAAAGATCAAATCCTGTGATAAAATGTGACTGTAGGTGGGATGGGATCCAAGCAGAGATGATTCAGCTGCTGCATCAACACAATACTTGGGAAAAAAAATCGTTTTATGGTCTTGGCATTTTTGTATCCATGTGAAGTTGCCTTCAGAAAAAAAAAGGTCAATTTTGGCTCATACCTCACTTCAGATTTATTATGTTTTGATTTTTAACACTTGTATAGAATGCTCAACAATTAGTACACACCTACTTTGAGTTGCTTTTAAAACTAAGCAAAATTATTGGACAATTCTATACCAGTTCCAACCAGCAAGATAAATGAAAATAATTTACTGTTTGACACCAGAAAAGACAAGAAGGACAATGCCCTCTTAATACAGTGGAATCATTTTGCACAATTTCTAAAGGGCTACTTTGTTTCTCTCATTTCAATATAGTTAAATTTTCTGAAGATAAAATAACACATTAAGCCAGATGTTGCTGGGCAAATAATAAATGTATGCAACAATTTATAGTCAAACCAGTCAACAGATTCAGGAGATTAAGAGACTCGCCAAGGGTTGTAGATCTCTAGATTTCACTGGTTAATTTGTGCCTTGTTTTTCTTGCCCTCAGTCGCTGTTATTTTCAAGAACCTTCTGGATTTGCAGTGATTATCCATTAAATATGCTGCAGAAAGTTAGTAGTAAAGTTTTGTTTTATAACTGTTAAGTTATTACCAGTTGGCCACATTGGCAGAAAGGGAATAATTTTAATTGTTTAATCTCACTATTGTATATCATAAATTGTTCTTAGAGCTTACAAATGTTAAATTTTTTCTTAACTTTTTTTCTTTTCCTTTGTGTTTCTTTCCTCTTTTCATTCTAACTTTTTAATTAAGTCATTCACAGGCCGTGAATGGGTGGCACAGCGGCACAGTGGTTAGCACTTTCACCTCACAGCACCAGGGATCTGGGTTCGATTCCGGCCTTGGGTGACACAGTGTCAAGTTTGCACGTTCTCCCAGTGTCAACTTGGGTTTCTGCCGGGTGCTCCGGTGTCCTCCCACAGTCCAAAGTTGTGCAATTAGATAGATTGGCCATGTTAAATTGTTCCGAAGTGTCCAAGGATGTACAGGATAGGTGGATTAGTCATGGTAAATGTTGGTTGGTGCAGACTCAATGGGCTGAATAGACCCTTTTTGCATTTTAGGGATTCTACATGGATTTCTATAGCCAGACCAGTATTTATTGCTCATCTCTAATTGTCCGGTTAACAGTCAACCACATTGCTGTGGGTCTGGAGTCACATCTAGGCTGGGTAAGAATGGCAGATTTCCTTCTCTTTCCATCCACCCCACCCCCCAAATGGGTTCTGAAGAAGACTCATTACCGCATTTGAAACATTAACACATTATCTGCTTCCCTCTGCACAGATATTGACAGGCCTGCTGAGTTACTCCAGCATTCTCTGCTTGTTTTGTAAAAGCACCTGATACGTTTCCCCACTAGCTCCCCACCTGGTAGGCCGAGCCACAGTCATAGAGACATAAAGCACGGAGACAGACCCTTCAGTCCAACTAGTCCATGCCGAACATAATCCATAGGAAACTTATCCGACCTGTCTGCTCCTGGCCCATATCCCTCCAAACCTTTCCATGTACTTTATGTTAAATTCCTGCCAACGTTTCAGGGTAGAAATGCTTTCCTTCCCACAGATGCTGCTTAGGTCTGCTGAATATTGCTAACATTTTGTGTTCTTTACATGGGTCAACTTAAATTCAACTTCTATTGATCTAAGTGTTGTCCTTTCCAACAGTGACCTTGTCTGTGCCAAATTGGAGAATATGGTGCACTCCAGACACTGCCAAATGCTTCTCCTTCATACCAACCTGATTAAAACTGCAGCAGAAAACTCATAGGTGGAGTGTTTACGTGCACTGAAATGCTGTGAAATAAACTAATTTGTAAATGCAAAAGCAATCTGCCCAATCTGAAGTCAACTTCGCAGATCATCCAACCAAACTTTTTGGCCTCAAATCAAGTTAGAAGTGGGATTTGCCACCAACACTGCAACTGAATGTTACTTCAGTATGAACAGAAATTATTGGACAAATAAACTCAAAACAAAAAATGCCCGCCTAACATCACGACTTACAAAACAATAATGGAATTGCTGACCAACCACAGCAAATGATCTCCACCAGTCTACCCACAACAGACAGAACCAGGGAATGAGGAAAACTCCAACAATAGGAAGCTTTGACAGTCAAAAGTCCAAAGTCACTTTGTCCTGCATAGTACACGTATGATAAGTCATGTCTCAAATTGCTCAGATTACATCTCAAATTATTATTTTGGCAGAAATCTAACCTGCATTTGAAATAATCAATAGCGTCTCCTTCCATCCTCTCCTCAGGAAGCCTGAAACATAGGTTGATCGCTAAGATTTCAGGAAACATGGCAGCTAAAAGGAGGCAAGGGCTGTTGCACAGAACAGGTAAATGCTTTACCAAAGCTGCTCCCTCCTTTACCCACTAAGCAATTCCCTTAACTCCTCCAGAAATCCTAGGTTCCAACCACCCAAGAACCAATGCCCTCCACAGACTCCCTGCAGTTAGCACCAACCCTCACCCTGCGTCTCTCTGGTCTCCTGTGATCATCTTCCACAATGTCTAGACCTTTCAGGGATTAAACCCCTCTTCTGATCCTTCAATCGTTTCCCAGACTCAAACTCTTGAGAGTTTCCCAATGATGTGCCACTGTAAACCTTCCTGCTACCCAGTAACCCACCGTCTAATTATTGATCCCTCCTTCCTGTCTACATTGACTGCAGCCTGTCAAATGGACCTACGTGTCCCTTTCCTGACATCTACATTAAAAAAAGTACCTGTTTGAGGAGACATCAAGCTTACTTCACAAAAGGCGCCTGTTAATTATTGGCCAAATCCCAAAAGGCTGCCTTACATCAAATCTATAACTACATTCGTGGGGCATTTTGTCAGTGCTTGGTTGGATCAATAAGTGGGAAGTTTCTTAGCAATGGAAACAGAGGTAGGTGTGTGGGCAGGGGAAAGATAAGTTATCTTGGTGTCACTCCATAAACAGCTGCCGTAAAAGCAATGCTTTTGAATGTTTTCAGCAGTTTCACAGATGCACTTGAAAGAATTTGAAACTTCCGGTTAAATTTTCCAGTGTGAGCAGGTATGTGCACAAGATTAAGAAATCGCCCACACAGTTATACTATTATTCTTTTACTGGGCTGACATCAGGCCAACATGTAAAACCAGATGTAGAAAATATGAAACCATCTGGATTTGCTCCCAAGGGAAGTAAGAGTAATTTATATGGAATCAAAATAAGATGCAGGCACACTATTTGTTCAACCCCCTACCATACTAAAGTGTTAGTACACTTTGTCACACTTTTTTTCAATTCATTCATGGGAAGTGGGCATCACTGACTGGGTCAGCAATTATTGCCCATCCCTAAACGCCCTTGAGAAAGTGAGCGTGAGTTACCGTCTTGAACCGTTGCAGTCCATTTGGTATAGGTAGACTCACAAATGCTGTTAAGGAGGAAGTTTCAGGATTAATGACCCAGCGACACGGAGGGAATGGCAACATTTTTCCACGTCTGTATGGTGAGAGGCTTGAAGCAAAACTTGCAGATGGTGTTCCCATGTTTCTGTTTTTGTTGCCCTTGTTTTTTCTAGTTGGTAGTGTTCATGGGTTTGAAAAGATTCTGTCTGTCTATTTCTGCAGTGCATCTTGTAGCCTGGACACACTGCTGCTACTGGGCATCAGTGAAGGAGGGAGCGACTGTTAATGGATGTGGTGCCAATCAAACAGGCTGCTTTGTCCTAGATAGTGTCAAGCTTCACAAGTGTTATTAGAATTTCACTCATCCAGGCAAGTGGGGAGTATTGTATCACATAT